AGTTGAGCGGTGGGACTCCCTGCTACTGGATGGTGGCCAAAAGCAATCACTAGGGGAAATAATAGCAGAACAAGGGAGACCCATTCCTATGGCTAACTGGGACTCCAACTATAGGTAAGCCCCAGCTAAACAGAGAAAGTGCTTCGTATTCCCAGCCTTTTAAAATTCCTGATAGCCTGAAGCTTCCTCCCAGAACTAAGATCTGTTTCCAATCTGCACTGACCCGATGGCATTTATTTATCTGTAAATCAATGCATCAGCTTCACCTGAAGGGTGAAAGTGTATACATTTTATACTGGAGTACACTTGTCGAATTTTGTCACTGTGGCTTGGCCAGGTTCCTGAACCCAGTTGCTCCAGAGACGATAGTATTGGTGGGAGGGCAAATGGTGGCCTTTTAGATGAAAGATAATAACCAGACAGGAAAAAAACCAAGAAATGCTTTATTACAATTTAATTCTGCATAATTTAAAAATAACTTTGTTAGTCACCGTAAAAATGTATTTTTATCTATAAAATCAGTTACCAGTGTATGTTTCAGTACCACACAGTCTCAGGTTCCTCTCGCACATTAAGGCAGACATGTGACCCGACACCCCCCCCCCCTCAGGGCAAACCTCAGCTTGCTTTCAAAGGACCTGAAAGCCCTTTCTCGCCAGCCCTGCAGCACCAAAAGCGCATCACGAAGGCTTTGCACCGTTTTAAGGCTAGTGCGTGGTAGATAAAAGCTAAACATCCAAGGACGTAAGGACTGGGCCTGCAAAACCTGGCCCACCCACCACAGAGCCTGAAGGCCACGGGAGCCTCTCCCATACCCTTGTAATGCTGCTTTGTCTGGTGTCCAGAAAACACGGGGATAGCGTGGTGAGACCAAACCATCACTGACTTCCATTCCTCTGTCCCCAAGAAAGTGTCTCTCGCCACTTTGCAACCTGAGAAGGGACAGATCAAGAGCAAAGAAAAAAAGGGAGAGACACTACATGGGAGGAGGGGTCGGGGGGGGAGAGAAGAACGGAAGTCCACTTTTCCACAGTAACCGTTTGCTCAGGTTCACCTCCACTCTCAGACGCTCTAGGTATGGATTGTTTATATATGGGAAGGATGCTGGACTCGCAACCTGTTCCAAGTCCAGCCGGACTGCTCCGTCACATCCCGAGGGCTTTGCTGTGGAGGAGGCAGCTCACGGGCAGTTGGGTCCCCACTTCAGGCAAAGCCTTCTCCCCACTAGCCTGCAGCCAAGATCCCCACACCAGAACCACCATCACATTTTAAAAAAACTACAAATTCATTGCAGAATAGAGCCAAGCTAAAAGAATTAGGTGGGAGAGAGAAGAGAGCTGCTTCTCAGCGTCGTTTTCTTTCTAAATAGCACCACAGCACACCAGTGGAGAAAGGGCTCACAGCCTTTCCTCTGAACAGTCACTCACAAACATGCCCAAATAAATAAGGTGTCGGTGCCCTGAAAGAGATGCTCTGCAGTCCGAAAGTATGGAGCTGTTGCTAATATCTTACCCTGGCTGAAGGCCTGAGCCACGGCAATCACTCAGAGTTTCTTAATATCATTCTATGCGATCACAGGTGCATTTAAAAAAAAGAAAACCAGCATTTCTTTTCCAGAAGGGGGTGTTAATACTTCAATGAACGTTAGACCCTGCTTCTATGCATCTATACTGGGTGCCAGCTTCCTAGAGAGATTTAAAACAGCAACAAACTAGTGCAGCATTTTAATAACATTCACAGCTGGGTTTTTAGAAAAAATTATCCACCTTTACCAGCAGGGGGGAGGGAGGGAACAAGTAAGAGCAACAAGAAGGCACAGAAATACTGCTCTGTAGGCACTGGGGGTCGGATGTTAGCAAGCAGAAGTAAAGGGAGCAAGCAAGACCTTCCTCCCAAACAGGCACATCTTGGCTTGATCCCCCCCCCCCCC